TCTGAAAGAAAAGCTAACATCTGCTCCAATTTTGAAATTTCCAGATTTTTCTAAGCCCTTCTATCTGACAACTGATGCTAGTTCTATTGGCATAGGTGCTGTACTAGCTCAGAAGACTGATAGCAAGTACAACGCAGTTGCATTTGCTAGCCGAGTCCTTACGAAGGCTGAACGTAATTATACAGTAACTAAGCAAGAAGCTTTAGCAATAGGATGGTTTTTAAAGCACTTCCAAAACATTATTTATCAGTACTCTGTTCATATCTTGACAGACCACGCTCCACTGATACCTTTATTCCAGAACAAACAACCTACTGGAAGGTTAGCCAGATGGACCTTGACTATCCAAGAGTTCAATCCCACCTTTGAGCACTTACCTGGCAAGTCAAATGTAGTCGCAGATGCCTTATCACGACATGTTAGTATAGTAACTGCAGACCCTCCATTTACTGCCGAGGACGTAAAGAATGCTCAACGAACAGATCCCATGTGGTCTGCTGTGATTCGATTCCTGCTCCAGGAAGATCTTATTCTGACTGTGAAGCCACCAGCACCCATCAGTGACTTTGTCATGAACCAAGAATTACTGTATCGAACAGCCGAGTTGGGTACCCCAAGCAGAAGGATATACCAGTTAGTAATTCCACAGTCACTAGTGAATGTAGCCTTACAGCTAGTTCACGATGCACCAGGTGTTGCACACTCTGGTATGGATCGTTCTGTGAAACAAGCCAGAATGAAATACTTTTGGCCTCGTATGACAACTGATATTTCTGAGAATGTTAAGAAATGTAGTGTCTGTATGCAACATAAAGGTAATGTTAATGGTCCTAATCCAATCCAAGTGTATCCAACTACTAGCGAACCGTGGGAAAGAGTTGCGCTAGATTTGTTAACTAATTTCCAATGTTCCCTCCAAGGCAACAAACATCTTTGTGTTATGGTAGACCATTTCACCAGATATTGAGAGTTAGTTCCTATTGCAGATAAGACTGCTGAGACAGTAGCTAAAGAGCTTAAAGAACGCATTATCTGCAGGCATACCACCCCTAAGCCCCTAGTAACAGATAATGGAGGTGAATTCTGTAATGAGATTCTTGAAAATTTGTGTACCTTGTACAAGATCTCTAAATCCACCATTGTTCCTCATCATCCTGCCAGCAATGGGCTAGTGGAATGAACCAATAAGAAAGTACTTGATGTCTTGAGAGCCACTATCAAACCCAATAGTGAAACTTGGGATGAAGTTATACCTGATGTGCAGTGTGCTATAAATTCTGCTTACAATGTTTCTATAGGTGACACTCCACATTATGCATTGTACGGTGTAGATAAACGTTTGCCTTATGAGTTGCTATATTCTAACCCGAAACCAAATTACAACCCTGATGATTTCATAGCAACTCGTACCAGCTTAGCTCAAAGTGTTTTTAGAAGAATCCGTGAAACACTTCATAAATCAACAGCAGAATTTACAAGAGTCGCTAACACTTGAGCAAAGCCGTCCAAAATTACAGTAGGTTCGAGTTTTATGCTGACTAACTTTAAGAAAACATCTTCAATGCCTAAGCTTGATCAAAAGTTTGTTGGTCATTATCGAGTAGTTGAACATGTTACTGGCAATAAGTATAAGGTTAGAGAAATTAGTACTGGTCAGTATAAAGAATCGCATTTAGATCATATGAAGTTAGTATGTGATGATAATGATGTTCCAACCCAGACTAATATGACAGAGACTGACACTCCTCCTGATCCTGTACTCTCTACCTCTGATACTCAGTCAGATTATCAACCTGAATGTCGTTATTCCCTACGTACACGACAGGTATTGAGAAATCCGCTAAGTATCATTTGTAACTACCAATTCAGATTTGCCTCAAATACAGCATGAGTTAGCCAGTGCAACAGAGTTTGATCCTCCCAGAGATGACACCCATTCTGAATATGTCAATCTCACTCTAGCAGAGTTGGGGTTAAATGTAAATAACCTGTAAAGATGAATAATTACAGTATCAACTTATTAATATTCAAGATTTTTTTTTGTGTGTGTACACGTTCTCTCCAAATTCTGAGATTTAACAGTTTAGATTTGAGTGCACCAAGTCTGCCTTTCCTGTTAAACACTTCTTTCTCTGTATATATTCCTTCCTTAGAATCCGTAGGTCACATGAATACAGATCGATCGATCAATTTTTTTTTATCACTTCAATTGTATAATCCCAATGTTGAGTCTCATTCTATGAGTTGTGCTATAACATACCTTGTAATGCATTAGTTTCATTAAGTCAGCTACATTAGCTTCCATTCCAATATTCTTATGTTCCAATGTTCAATTGTTGTGTACTTTGACATTGTATAGAATCAGCCCAAGCCGTACGCCTACCGTCTCTAGTTTGTATTAGCTGTATGTCGGGATGACATACGTTAGCGTTGCCGAGCTCTCAATAGTACCATACCAGTAACCAGTTACCAGTGCCGTAGTGACTCGCTACCAATCGTCTGTGTGAATCACTTGTTATTCACGTGTACAGCTGATCTTAGCATGTTTTGAACACCACTCACCCCTAGGAACCATCTCGTGAGTCAGTCTAAAGATAGGGAGCGGAGACGTAGGTCAGGCTTCGTGCTTCCCATATATTCTGCTTTAATTATACTCCATTATTGCCTATGTGAATATCCTTTACCCAATCCACGTTACCGAACCCACGGGACACCTGACACTGCTGTCAAACTACCTGACACCACCGTCAAACTACTTGATACTGCCGTCAAACTACCTGACACTGCCATCAAATTACCTGACACTGCCGTCAAACTACCTGACACCACCGTCAAACTACTTGATACTGCCGTCAAACTACCTGACACTGCCATCAAATTACCCGCACCGACACTGCCGTCAAAACTACCCGACACTGCCGTCAAACTACCTGACACTGCCGTCAAACTACCTGACACTGCCGTCAAACTACCTGACACTGCCGTCAAACTACCTGACACTGCCGTCAAACTACCTGACACTGCCGTCAAACTACCTGACACTGTTGTTAGTATAATATAAGCATAATTATTACTACTGAAACTATTGTTAGACCTACTTAAGCTATTGTTAGTCTTAATGTAACTATTGATAGTTGAGCAAACTATTGTTAGTTCTAACCAAATTATAATCTCATTTTTTATTGTTTTTTAAGAATAAATACAATTTTAATTTATTATTTTATTTTTAATTAAAATTTTACTAATTATGTTACCATCTGGCTCCATCTGGTGACCTTGAGAGGCGGTGACCATCTGGCTCCATCTGGAGACCTTGAGAGGCGGTGACCATCTGGCTCCATCTGGAGACCTTGAGAGGCTGGTGACCATCTGGCTCCATCTGGTGACCTTGAGAGGCGGTGACCATCTGGCTCCATCTGGTGACCTTGAGAGTTGGTGACCATCTGGCTGCATCTGGTGACCTTGAGAGTTGGTGACCATCTGGCTGCATCTGGTGACCTTGAGAGGCGGTGACCATCTGGCTGCATCTGGTGACCTTGAGAGGCGGTGACCATCTGGCTCCATCTGGTGATCTTGAGAGGCGGTGACCATCTGGCTCCATCTGGTGACCTTGAGAGGCGGTGACCATCTGGCTCCATCTGGAGACCTTGAGAGGCGGTGACCATCTGGCTCCATCTGGTGACCTTGAGAGTTGGTGACCATCTGGCTCCATCTGGTGACCTTGAGAGTTGATGATCATCTGGCTCCGTCTGGAGACCTTGAGAGTTGGTGACCATCTGGCTGCATCTGGTGACCTTGAGAGGCGGTGACCATCTGGCTGCATCTGGTGACCTTGAGAGGCGGTGACCATCTGGCTCCATCTGGTGATCTTGAGAGGCGGTGACCATCTGGCTCCATCTGGTGACCTTGAGTTGATGACCATCTGGCTCCATCTGGTGACCATGAGAATTGGTGATCATCTGGCTCCATCTGGTGACCTTGAGAGGCGGTGACCATCTGGTGACGATGAGAGTTTGTAACCATCTGGCTGCATCTAGTAACCTTGAGAGTTGGTGACCATCTGGGCATGTCTGGTGACCTTGAGTGGTGGTGACCATCTGGCTCCATCTAGTGATCTTGAGAGTTTGCAACCATCTGGCTGTGTCTGGTGACTTTGAAAGGTGACCATCTGGCTTCATCTGGTGACCTTGAGAGGTGGTGACCATCTGGTGACCTTGAGAGTTAGTGACCATCTGGCTCCATCTGGTGACCTTGAGAGTTTGTAGCCATCTAGCTGTGTCTGGTGATTTTGAAAGATGGTGACCATCTGGCTGTGTCTAGTGGCCATGAGAGGTGGTGACCATCTGGCTGTGTCTGGTAACTTTGAAAGGTGGTGACCATCTGGCTGTGTCTGGTGGCCATGAGAGATGGTGACCATCTGGCTGTGTCTGGTGACCTTGAGAGATGTGACCATCTGGCTCCATCTGGTGACCTTGAGAGGTGACTATCTGGCTCCATCTGGTGACCTTGAGAATCGGTAACCATCTGGCTGTCTGGTGACCTTGAGAATTGGTGACCATCTGGCCGTGTCTGGTAACCTTGAGAGGTGGTAACCATCTGGGTACATCCGGTGACCTTGACAGGTACCGCCTGGCTACATCTGGTGACCTTGACAGGTGGTAAACAGCAATGTGCTGTCAAATGTTGTCTCTAGCATACATAAGGGGGATTACCAATGGACACCTGTCTTCAAGAAGGCACTGGACAGCCACCTAAAGTTCGTACCTGACCAGCCGGGCTGTGGTTCGTGTGTCGATTTACATGCGGCCAGAAGTAACAGACTGGATGATTCCCTACCATACCCCCGGCCGGGATTGAACCCGCGGGTTCAATCCCGGCCGGGGGTATGGTTTGTTTGCAATCGTGTCATTACGATTTCTTGAGTCATGGATGATTCCCTGATCTACCATGAAGCCAAATCACAGACGGGGCAGCGGGGGCGTTGACCCCTGAAATCCTCTCCAGGTATACTCCAGGTATACTCCAGGTATACTCCAGGTAGTAACCTATACTCGTAATTCCGTTTAGCCCTCACATCATCTCGTAGTATAACGAGATTTTTCTGGCGTCGCTAGGTATTGAGGGTAAACTTAAATAGGTTGACTTTCGTATTGCTATATGTTTTATTCTAAAGTTCCTACGTTGCGATGAACCTACTTTTAGCACTGTCCTTAATGTTTGTGTTACTGAAAAGGAACAAAATTCGTAATAATTGTTGGATTACCGACAAAATGTCACTTTAGTTGCATTTGTGTCCATTTATCTTACGGGATAAAACTCGTCACTTATCCGTGGTGGGTTATAGGGAGAATTACATGTTTATAAAACTGTTTCACTGAATATTGGAACGCTGTTTTCGTCTGTATCTGAGTCTAGAGTGTCGCTGCTACTCGCTGCTAGATTCACGAAGTGAACTCTGAGGCCGCCAGAGGCGGGACTACTTCGACCCTCTACCTTGTGTGCGTTCACATGCACCTTGCTGTCTTCCTTGTTCCCGGGCTTTGTATTTTGAGAGAACGTCGGTGTCACTGCCTCTAACGTCTCTAAAACACAGTCATCTGCTGTGGATTTGGACTCCTGATCTGAGTTCTTGGGCTCGGCTTTCCTGTACTCCTGTGGCAACATCATAGTGTTCTCTGCTGGTGGGTCTAACACGCTGGCAACCGAGCTGCGGGTACCGTTATCGAGTGAACTTGTATTCGACATCTTGGGTGAGAGATGGCTATCAACTAAAGGATGCTTTGTGGCGTTGCCATCAGTTAATGCCCCCTTACCTAATACAACAGTCTCCGAGGTGCCAGGGCGGCTGGTGCGTGGACGACTGTTGTTTGTCGAGTATTGGGTCGAATCTTTTCTTCGCGGTGCGCTGCGTCTTCGAATGAAGAGGTCGCTGAATGTTTCTCTGAACTGTCGCGACATGCCACAGTAGATGGCAAAGTTGATGGGGTAGGAGAATATGATGAAGGAATTGGAGATGATGAAGAAATACATGAGCATGTAGTAGGAATCGTTGGAGAATATAACGATGCCCATGTTGGAGATGATGTGAAGGAGTGTGATTACTGCCAGGGGAATCTCTGTCACCAGGAACACTGACACCACAGCTATCAACATCAGTGTGGTACAGTTGGAGTCACTCAGTTTCTTGCACTCCCTCTTTGACTTTTTGTCATGTAGAAGTTTCTTCCTGCGCTTCTGTGCCTCCTTCATGGCCCTGAAGAGGAGAAAGTTGAGCACCACGAGCACCGTGCACGGACCCAAGTGCACAAACACCACCCGGAACCAGAAGTAGATCGGGAAGTAGATGTTTGGGGTAATCTGGGTCACCCAGTCTCTGAATCTCTCGTTACAAACACACACACACTCGCCCTGCCATTCAACTTCTGTGGAGTCGTACACTGTGTCAAAAATCTTGGGCGCCTGGTGGATGGTGGCAAAGATGAAGATCCAGATGATAGCCTTGATAACACGGGGTAGCGTGCACCAGGTGCGAGCCACAGGAGGGTGACACACGTAGATGTACCGCTGTACCGCCAGGGCCACCGTCAGCCAGATGGAAGCCGTGTGGAACAAGTTAGGGATGTCCTCATGCAAGAAGCCCCAGGCGTAGCAAGCAGCCTGGGGATAGAGGGGCTTAGCGTGGTTGTTCAGAGTGTACATGTAGAAGAACACGGGCTCTGGGAAGAGCACAGTGAGCATGTCTGAGAGCGCCATAGCCATGAGCACCGCATTTGTTGGAGATCGCATGTGATGCTGCCATAAAACAGCCACGATGATAGTGTTGGCCACAGTAGTCACCAGTAGCAACACTGGCATAGCGTACCCATAGAGTGGCATAGCCAGGTCCAGAGGATACAGATTACTAACATTGAGGAAGTCAGTCGCGTTGCCGCTCCCACAAGTCTTGTTCACCAGCAGGAAATTGCTCTCAGACACATTGCTGCCGGTGACTGCCAATCTTTCAGTGTCCATTGTGTTGGTGATTCAAGTGAAGGCTGTGATTACATGACAGCTGGTAGGGTCATGCAAGCATCAATACCAATTCAATATTTCTTTCAGTCATCCTTTTGGATTTAATGACTTGAAGAGGGTTCCCAAGACACGAAAAATTATTTCAGTTGTATATCTCAATTCCCGATCGCCTAATTAATATCGTCTAATAACCAGCATATTATGTTCGTATTATAGAATAGTGACACTATATAATTAGTCAAGGGTGTTCTTATACCACGGAATTAAAACACTGTTGCATCCACTGAGATCAAAGTTTCTTATTTTTTTGTCAAAAGTTAAAACAAATGAAGTCTTTGTCAACACTGTTGTGGAGGATGAGTGAATATTGGCGGCTGTTCCGTGTTCGCAAGCCTCCGCATGGTGAGAGTGCCAGTGCTAGTGTGTCAGGAAGCGGCAGGAGCCACAGTCCTCTCTCCAACCCGCCCGCCGCAAGACTGAGCTGCCTCCCTGTTTAGTAGGCACCATCACCCCCACCACAGAATATCACCATCACCCCCACCACACAACATCACTATCACCCCACTACACATCACCACCATTACCACCCTACCAACACTGTTTCCACTCTCATCATTAGCATCCCTCTAGATAACACCACTATCTCCATTCACCCTGAACGAATGGAGTCCAGAAAAGGCTTCATGGGAGTGAACCTGGAAGTAGAGACACACGAAGAATAGAACTGGAGAGGAGAGTCTTCTGTCGGAGAGAGAGAGCCAGGACTTAACCTATCAGCGGAGCATTCCTGGTCATGTAGAGGAGCAGCCATACATCGATAATCTTGGATGGAGGCGGCAGGCAGGCAGGCAGGGCTCAACAGAAGGCAGCGCTCGATGTGGTGTTGATTGGAGTGATTATGGTAGATTTACTGTGGAAGACACGTTCTGGAATTTCCTGAACGTGGAACTGGAAAGGCAGGACACTTCGACTGTGATTGTTACGTGTATCGTTATATATTCTCGTACCTGTTTATATAAGAAAAGATATGGTCTTCCATAGGCTTATTAACAGTACCATCACACAGACGTGTATCAAGTTCTTTCCAGTGGACGACACAGAGGTTAGTGGGAGTGGGCTAAAAGGTCAAGTTTTCCCCACTTAAGCCCGGAAACATTAATCGACCTCTTCATCCTCATCCTGCAGTATGGGTTTCTGTGGTCTTTGGTGGATCGTTGTGAAAGAGTGATTTGGGAGGTTTCAATGGCTGTGGTTGGCTGGCCAGGTGAAGTGGAATGAGTGGATGGTGAAAGGGTGGCTGTGAATGAGTGCCTTGGAGACTTTAAAGGAGGTGGTTGGCTGCACAAGTATGGTGGTGTAAGTAGGTGGATAAGTAACAGTTGATCAGCATCAGATGTTAGGTGAGCTGGAACACTAAAGTTTACAAAGTTGAGGATGATTTTGAGTACATCAGCAGATGGAGCGGAGTCGGAGAACTTGAAGCCGGGTACGAAGAACTCCGAGAGTTCTTTCGTAGTGGCGTTAAAGGAACCAGGGTTTGCTACGTTGCCCAAGTGTACGTACACCATGCAGTACAAAACTTTTAATGGCAGTGAGTGGAAGGACTTGCTAGAAGTGGAGGCTACTGAGTGGCTTCCAGGACCTTGTTATGTCTGCTTGTAGTTTAGTGATGGCAGCATAGGCGAGAAATTTGATGGAACTGATCTGCTTCTTTCAGACATCTTTTCTAAAGGGGCATTTGGCTGCAAGAGTGTGTGGTCACTCTTGCAGTTATAGGCTTTTTAAGTGGTCATAAATTACAGGTCTGAAAGCCGTGGTCTTAACCACAGCACACACAATAAAACTGGGCAATACTTGAGAAACAATACTTAGTAAGCGCGTCTATCTGAGCTCAGAAGATGGAGGATCGAGCCTTTACCACGCTGAAGAGTGCTAGTCAAGAGAATACTTAAAATCCACAGTCCTAATTAAGTATTGATAGCAGAAGAGGAGACGATCTTGTCAGCCTCATTATCGCTGAGATGTCCTTAATCGTGAGTATGCATGAAACACTGATAACACCACTGTCTGGCCTGGTAACACCACTGAGTGGCCAGATAACACCACTGTCTGGCCTGGTAACACCACTGAGTGGCCAGATAACACCACTGTCTGGCCTGGTAACACCACTGAGTGGCCAGATAACACCACTGTCTGGCCTGATAACACCACTGAGTGGCCAGATAACACCACTGTCTGGCCTGGTAACACCACTGAGTGGCCAGATAACACCACTGTCTGGCCTGGTAACACCACTGAGTGGCCAGATAACACCACTGTCTGGCCTGGTAACACCACTGAGTGGCCAGATAACACCACTGTCTGCCCTGGTAACACCACTGAGTGACCTGATCTACACACGACGCACCTGCATCGTAGAGGAGCACAAGATGATACTGACTTCTGTAGTGAAGGTTCACCTCCAAAACATGAACAAAGAATCTGTTCACATGTTCAAAGATACGGACCTTAAATTGATGCTATTACAAATATTATTCATGCTATCGCATCTATCACAATTATATTCGTAGTTTGAATAATGCTGTCAGTGACTTCACATTGTCAGCGTATGGCACGAAATGGAACTTATCTAATGTCTTATTCGGTCTAATAGATGTGCTGAAGTGTGTAGTGACAACTGTGGAGCCGCAGGTGTTGAGTGCCATAAGCTGAAATTAAGGCACATTCTGAGGACAGTGCCATAAGCTAACATTACATTAAACACACGTAATTATTCAGTGTTGTCCTGGTGATGCAGTACCACTGAGCTGGTATCACGTAATTATTCAGTGTTGTCCTGGTGATGCAGTACCACTGAGCTGGTATCACGTAATTATTCAGTGTTGTCCTGGTGATGCAGTACCACTGAGCTGGTATCACGTAATTATTCAGTGTTGTCCTGGGGGATGCAGTACCACTGAGCTGGTATCACGTAATTATTCAGTGTTGTCCTGGTGATGCATTTACCACTGAGCTGGTATCACGTAATTATTCAGTGTTGTCCTGGTGATGCAGTACCACTGAGCTGGTATCACGTAATTATTCAGTGTTGTCCTGGTGATGCAGTACCACTGAGCTGGTATCACGTAATTATTCAGTGTTGTCCTGGTGATGCAGTACCACTGAGCTGGTATCACGTAATTTATTCAGTGTTGTCCTGGTGATGCAGTACCACTGAGCTGGTATCACGTAATTATTCAGTGTTTTTCCTAGTGATGCAGTACCACTGAGCTGGTATCACGTAATTATTCAGTGTTGTCCTGGTGATGCAGTACCACTGAGCTGGTATCACGTAATTATTCAGTGTTGTCCTGGTGATGCAGTACCACTGAGCTGGTATCAACGTAATTATTCCAGTGTTGTCCTGGTGATGCAGTACCACTGAGCTGGTATCACGTAATTATTCAGTGTTGTCCTAGTGATGCAGTACCACTGACTGGGTATCACGTAATTATTCAGTGTTGTCCTGGTGATGCAGTACCACTGAGCTGGTATCACGTAATTATTCAGTGTTGTCCTGGTGTATGCAGTACCACTGAGCTGGTATCACGTAATTATTCAGTGTTGTCCTGGTGATGCAGTACCACTGAGCTGGTATCACGTAATTATTCAGTGTTGTCCTGGTGATGCAGTACCACTGAGCTGGTATCACGTAATTATTCAGTGTTGTCCTGGTGATGCAGTACCACTGAGCTGGTATCACGGTAATTATTCAGTGTTGTCCTGGTGATGCAGTACCACTGAGCTGGGTATCACGTAATTATTCACTGTTGTACTGGTGATGCAGTTACCACTGAGCTGGTATCACGTAATTATTCACTGTTGTACTGGTGATGCAGTCCACTGAGCTGGTATCACGTAATTATTCAGTGTTGTCCTGGTGATGCAGTACCACTGAGCTGGTATCACGTAATTATTCACTGTTGTACTGGTGATGCAGTACCACTGAGCTGGTATCACGTAATTATTCAGTGTTGTCCTGGTGATGCAGTACCACTGAGCTGGTATCACGTAATTATTCACTGTTGTACTGGTGATGCAGTACCACTGAGTGGTATCACGTAATTATTCACTGTTGTACGGGTGATGCAGTACCACTGAGCTGGTATCACGTAATTATTCAGTGTTGTCCTGGTGATGCAGTACCACTGAGCTGGTATCACGTAATTATTCACTGTTGTACTGGTGATGCAGTACCACTGAGCTGGTATCACGTAATTATTCACTGTTGTACTGGTGATGCAGTACCACTGAGCTGGTATCACTTTAATTATTCAGTGTTGTCCTGGTGATGCAGTACCACTGAGCTGGTATCACGTAATTATTCAGTGTTGTCCTGGTGATGCAGTACCACTGAGCTGGTTTATAACGTAATTATTCAGGGGTTGTCCTGGTGATGCAGTACCACTGAGCTGGTATCACGTAATTATTCAGTGTTGTCCTGGTGATGCAGTACCACTGAGCGGGTTTATCACGTAATTTTTCACTGTTGTACTGGTGATGCAGTACCACTGAGCTGGTATCACGTAATTATTTCAGTGTTGTCCTGGTGATGCAGTACCACTGAGCTGGTATCACGTAATTATTCCTGTTGTACTGGTGATGCAGTACCACTGAGCTGGTATCACGTAATTATTCACTGTTGTACTGGTGATGCAGTACCACTGAGCTGGTATCACGTAATTATTCAGTGTTGTCCTGGTGATGCAGTACCACTGAGCTGGTATCACGTAATTATTCACTGTTGTACTGGTGATGCAGTACCACTGAGCTGGTATCACGTAATTATTCAGTGTTGTCCTGGTGATGCAGTACCACTGAGCTGGTATCACGTAATTATTCAGTGTTGTCCTGGTGATGCAGTACCCACTGAGCTGGTATCACGTAATTATTCAGTGTTGTCCTGGTGATGCAGTACCACTGAGCTGGTATCACGTAATTATTCATGTTGTCCTGGTGATGCAGTACCACTGAGCTGGTATCACGTAATTATTTCAGTGTTGTCCTGGTGATGCAGTACCACTGAGCTGGTATCACGTAATTATTCAGTGTTGTCCGGGTGATGCAGTACCACTGAGCTGGTATCACGTAATTATTCAGTGTTGTCCTGGTGATGCAGTACCACTGAGCTTGGTATCACGTAATTATTCACTGTTGTACTGGTGATGCAGTACCACTGAGCTGGTATCACGTAATTATTCAGTGTTGTCCTGGTGATGCAGTACCACTGAGCTGGTATCAACGTAATTATTCACTGTTGTACTGGTGATGCAGTACCACTGAGCTGGTATCACGTAATTATTCACTGTTGTACTGGTGATGCAGTTAACACTGAGCTGGTATCACGTAATTATTCAGTGTTGTCCTGGTGATGCAGTACCACTGAGCTGGTATCACGTAATTATTCACTGTTGTACTGGT